ATCAGGGCTGACCCCCTCTATTCCCCCCCACCCCCCACCTCCCAGCTTGCAGGGGCCGATAAGGATCTACCACCTGTGGGAACAGGTCAGCTACAACTGCTTCATCATGGCTGGGCTCTACATGCTGCTGGGCTGCTTTTTCTGCCAGGTCTGGCTCAACAAGCACAGGGAGCACATGGTGCACTAGGACCCGCCCAGCCCCCTTCTCCATTGGGACCAGCTGCCACCTCTTATTTATTGACCCCCAGACCATAATCCTTTGCTCCTGCCCCCCTCCCCAATCTGCCTAGTAGCTGGGGGGGGGACGGACTCTGGGTAACTGGGAGCAGATTCAGCTACTTGGACCGGCAGGAAGGGGGTTGGGGGGGAAACTAGCACTCTGGTGCCCCCCCTTTCTGTGTGTAGGGGGGGTCTGAGCTGCAGGTAACCTGCTCCAGGGTTTTGCCTCCACTTCCCACCCAGTCTGTCTGTCTCCAACCCTGGAGCGTCTTGCCTGAGGCAAGAAATGGAGTTGAATCCTGCAGCTGCCCTGGAGCCTTGGGGCTGTGGGTTTTCTTTTGGTGGCGGGGGGGGATTGGCTTTATATGGAGGGGGCAGGGGGATTCTCATGTTTATTTCACTGTGCATTGTAGGTAGGTGGGGGGCCCAGCTCTATGGCTTTACTTAAAACTATGAACTTGCTTTTTTTACAGGAGTAAAAATACATTTGAAAATAAGCCCAAACCCACACCTCAATTGATGGGGAAAAAAGAGTCTTAAGGTAAACACAATGTAAAAATGGAACAATACATTATACGTGCTACTGCAACATCACAAAAAATGTGTGCGCACATAATATTGCCTTTCTTAAAAAATAGAACTACACAGACAATCCCCAATTTTGTAAAACAAAATCTTGAATCTGGATCAGAGCGTGAAGCCTGTTGATGTAACAGTGAATGTTGCAGTAGTAGAAATAACGGCATAGCCTGATTTACAAATAAAGCACCAAAAAGCCAAAAATGCAGCTAAAAAAAGTTTTAATTACTTGGCATTGTGATGCGCAGCACATCGCACAAGTCAGGTAAAATGTGTAAAATGAGTAACAGCTCATGGTTTATAAAAGAAATCAGTTACAGTAATGCCCAGTGGCTACTATCGGATTAAATTTAATATTATGCCATTTTGGCGGCCTCAACAGCAATGATGAGAGCCCTGGCAGCCTCGTCAGCAGCTTTGTCGGCCATAGTGGCATCCCCTAGAGGCACCTTGGTGGCCTTGCTGGCAACCTTGCTGGCAGCAGCCGTAGCAGCCTTAGAGGTGGCAGCTGCAGCAACCCTGGTGGCAGCAACCACGGCAGCCTTGGTGGTGGCGTTCTTGGCAACCACAGCAGCCTTGGCGTCCTCCTCGGCAAACTCCTTGCAGCCCCCAACAAGCTACTCAGTGGACTTGGGGGAAGCCCTGTCAGCAACGACTGTGACAATTTCCCTTATGATCCCATGGGCAGCGTCAGCACTGGCACCAGCGTAAGACTTGGCTTCCTGGTCCTCATGGCACTGATGGTAGCTCCCCTGGTGGTGGCCAGGGCGACTTCAGCCTGGACAGCAGGTTCATCCCTATTGCCTGTGCTCTCTGTGGGGGAAAGACCCGGGATGACGGCTGCCCCCACTGGCCTGACCTAAAGTAAAACAAAAGGAAATAATAATTTTAAAATGTTAAAAACAAATTGATCCTGAGCTTGCAGTGCAAGCTTAGATACGAATAATAAAAAAAAAAAAGTAAGACTTTTACTTTGCAGCGCAATTCCACTTAACTAAACAACATTGGCCCATAACCATAAAGAGGGGGCTGGGTCCTATGGGCTAGATCATCCGCTGGCACCAGAGACACATGGCTAGAGCGTCACCAGCCATCGAGGTGCTGCTGCAGCCATTGAAAGGGCACACCTACCCATGGTGCCCTTCTGGTAGGTGATGGGGCGATGGAGAAGGGGGCTGAGCACATGACCCTGCCTCCCCCACTTTTGGGAGAAATGCCGGGGAAATCCGCACCTCCCGTCACCATGCCATGTATGGGCATGTCGTTCTCTTCCTGCC